GAAGCATAGACAGTCCTGCCTCTCTTTAAATGCTTCAAAGGGCTGGGTAGAACAGCAGCATTGGTTCCTCCAACTGTTTGACTGGCACACAGTTGTGTTCACCCACCTGCACTCATTCTGATGCCCCTGTGTAGATGCCCTGACTCACTGAGCAAGCCCCTTCCTCTTGATAAACAAGACAGCAGACAATCCCAAATTTTGTTCATACCTGGCAAGACCTGGGTCAGAAGTGGGAGAGGGGCACACATATACCTTCCCTGTCCTACTGAATTAGCTAGCTCTCCAGGACAGACCAGGAGGCTAAAATCCCAGCAAGAAAAGACACACCCCCCCGACACAAATACAGCTGGAGACATGAATCACTTGACAGAATCCATGTCTTACATGCATGAGATCCAGGGTTCAATCCCCAGCACCACTTAAGCCTCCAACCCAGTTGTTCCCCAAAAGAAGGTTAGATATCTGCTCACAGAAGGAGAAAGTCATTGCCTAGCAGTAGCTGTGCCCAGTCAGCCTGCAGTGTCCTAGGACATTAGAACCTTCCAGACATCTTTCTGGCTAGCATCAGGGCCAGCCTTGTGATCTGGACCCTCCCTGCTGTGTTTTCTTCCTGCCAGCAGCAGGCCAGGTGTCCTGGACTTTGGTAGCCAAGAACAAGCTTCAAAAGGCTAAGTGGAAGGTGACCATCTTCAAAGCGTCCTCAGACTTCCCAGAAATCTCTGGCACCCTGCCCTGACCTCAGGTCAGTTGCCGGCAAATGAACTTGTGACAGCTCCATGAGGGCAGGGACTCTGATTTTGTCTGTCTGGTTCCCTGCTGTCATCCTGGCAACCCCAAGCATGAGACTGGCATACAGTTAGTACTCAACACTGATCTGCTGGACTGATGTGCAAAGGCTTCTTACCAGGAAAGGATGGGAAGCACAGCCCAGGCTTTCAAGCTAGACACACCTGGACCTGAAACCTTCTAGACACATTTATGCCTTCACTATCCCTCCCTGTCCAGCCCCCTCATCATAGCACCTCAGAGAGCTCTTAGGGATGTTAGCTGGATATAACATATAAAGTCTTTAGTATAACCCAAGGCAGAAACCTCTGCCATGTTTCCAGTTCACAAACACTTATTTAGCACTTGTATGCAAGATGTTTTTCAATCGCAGTGTGCAATATCAGATCACAATCACTTCAGTTAATTTTTGTAACAGTCCTCTGAAGCTGGATCTATTAGCACTCCCCTTTGCAGCTTCAACCTTTGAGACACAAAGAATGAAGGCAACCTGCCCAAAGCCTGAGACCTCAAAGTGCAGGGCCACGGTTCGTATTAATTACACAGTCTAAACTGCTAAAATGCTGCACCTGTCTGCCTCTAGGGCTGACATTCACTGCAACTGGTTTCTGTCCCAACCCTTGTAGAATTCCAAGGACATCTGACCATACTGCCAGACTGGTGTCTTCGGTTACAGAGGAAAGAGTCGCAGGTACTCGCTCCCATGGAGCAGTGCTTGTTTGGTCGTTTTCACTATGGTGTGTACTCCCCTGATACCCAATATCAGATCAGACAAGTGAGTTCACTAAAAAATTCCCTCCCATCCCATCCTCCCTCACTACCTACCAGAAAAAGAAACACATAACTATGCAAAAATAAGATAAGAAATGAAGGGCAGAACTAAAGAGATAAAAGGCTTGTAAACCTTTAGAACAAATACAGAGGTGGTACCTGAGAATAAGCACCATACATCAGGGAGCAAGCACAGAAGACAGACGGCCAGGCATACCACCTCAGCTGCCCAGAAGTCCAAGGTAACAGAAAATTAAGCCATCTCCTCCAAAGGACAAAAGCTTATCATAAAGAACTTTCCATTTACTCTCTGCCAACTGTGATGGAAATATCATTACCAAAATAAATCAATGGCCTTGCTTCTTCCAATGTTTCAGGAAGAGTGGCATCAGAAAGAACACCACAAATGCTCAGAAATGAAGGGATAACATCCTCAAGGACCCAACCCCATCCCCACCCCCCTGTTTAACATGGACACAGCTTTGACTGACACATGGAACACCACATACTTTCAGAGCATTCATCTTCTTTTTTTTTTTTTTGGTTTTTCGAGACAGGGTTTCTCTGTGGCTTTGGAGACTGTCCTGGAACTAGCTCTTGTAGACCAGGCTGGTCTCGAACTCACAGAGATCCGCCTGCCTCTGCCTCCCGAGTGCTGGGATTAAAGGCATGCGCCACTCAGAGCATTCATCTTCAAAGCTCTTAGGGACTGCCATCTCCTGGGCCACCTAAGTTCTGATTCATGTATGTGATGGCAAAAGCTTGATCACAAAAGCTGGCTCTGGCCTTACATTAGCTCACATGACTCTGTCTCCAGGTGGCTGAGGTATCACTGTGGAAAGTCAACTTTCTCTACTCTCAAAGTCCCTGGCAGGGAAGAGGCAGCTCCCCTGAAGTGGGGGTCCAGTCTCTACCCACCTAATCCAGGAATTACCACATTTTGCTCCAACATAGCAAGAGGCATTTTATCACATGGCACAAAGACAAGGGAGAACTGGGGGATTGTTTCCTCCCTGGAGAGACCGGAATATTACAAGTTCAGTGAAGAAAGTCCACCTCTTCCTTCCCAGTCAGGAAACAAAATCCTAGAGGTTATGTACTCTCTGCCCTGTGAAAACCCACATCCAGTCCTAGTCTCTTCCTCCCTGGTGAGTTGTGATTCCTGAGGCTGCTCCCCCAAAAGGGTTGCCTCATTTTAAATCTGGCTGGCTACCAACACAGACAATAATAGAACAGTGTTGACTTAAGAAAAAGAAACCCATCTGGAAAACAGGAACGACTGGGAAGTACCCTAGTGATGCAGATGTGTCCCACAGCCAACACCATGCTTACCAATATCCAGTCACCCTGGTATGTTCAAGTCCTAAAGCCACAATGTCCAATGTGACGAATGCCCAAGGACTTGTGGTCATCATTTATTTGACCATGATTCCCAGGAGCTCAAAACTACACATCAAGGACAAAGGTGATAAGGTTGTTGATAGAGCAACTCAAATCTGAAGCTTCGGCAGTTCAGTTCCCAGCAAGAGATCTTAAAATTCATTTTCACGTAACAAGTTTACAATTGAGTTATAGACAAAGTGGTCAACTATTCACAAAGGGAAAATCTCAATGAAGAAAAATAAGCCACTTTTCTGGGGCATGGTCTCACTAGATAGCCCAGGCTGGCCCAAAATCCCCACTTATCCTCCTGTCTTAGCTTCCTGAGTGCAGGGATTACAGGTGTACACTACCATTACTCTTACACCATTAATTTCAATTAAAACAATTTCTGAGCAAACAAGTGGGAACTGCACACACAAGGTCCCAAAGCTATACTTCACCACACGTAACAAAGCCATCTTCAAACGAAAGCCAATGAAGGGTAAGCAAGGGACTCAGGATACCTAAGGCCCTGAAAACCGTCCACCCACAGCAGCTGAGCAGATTTGGCCCAACTTTGCTACCCTAGATACAAAGAGGATTCTTTGGCTACAGCAGAACTCACAAGGGCCTAAAACAAATGCCACAAGTTTGGGTTCTCACTCCCGGGTGCATGACAGGCTGAGAGGCTCAGTGCCACAGAAAGCAAAAGTGTCTTTGTTTCCATTACATCATCCGTGGTGAAGGGGGAGGGCAGGCGGGACACAGCTGGTGGCAGCTGTGCCACCATCTGCTTTCTCCTCAGCAGCCTTTGCTGGTCTGGGCCTCCTTGGGCCCCTGACAGAGAAGTGCAGGGTTAAAGATACAACATCCTATTACAGAAATAGTCAGAATTACTAAGAAATAAATCACTCCTCTGTTGAGTTAACGGCCTTGGGTAGTTGATGAGCTGGTGCTGTTGGAATTTACACTGTTTGCATCTCTTTGGACTTGGTGACAACACAAACTCTGTCAACTCAATTAGACAAGCACTATGTACAAGCAACCACCTGCCATCTGCTTCCGTAAAGGTAGGCAGCCAGAACTTGCAGGTCTGCAGCTGGAAGCATACTGGAAAAGAAGAGAGAACACTCTGACACTGTGGGGGCAAGCAAGCATCACACTAGTAGCCAGGGCATGAACACATGCTGCCGCTGTTGGCATTTGGAAAGCTAGGCTTGCCTTCCTCACCTTCATGCAGCTTCCTTCAGAACCTATCTACAGCACCCCACCCAGGGAAGACAAAGCTGATGGTTAGGGGGAAACTAGTGGAGACCAAGACAACAGAATCTCAGCTGGCCATTCAACTGCAAGCTGGAAGCAGAGTCAAAAAGGCCTATCAAGCCTACACATATGTTTTATCTGGATAGTTCAGGTTGTTCCTGGGGTGTATGAGTTGAATGTGTTTTGCAGAAAGGCATAGTGTTGAGATAGGATCTCATGCAATCCAGGCTGCCCAAAACTTTCTGTGTAGCTGAGAATGACCCAGAACTCCTGTTCCTTCTGCCTCTACTTCCTGAGTGCTGGGATTATAGGGCGTGCAGAACCATGCCTAGTATCCCAAGTGCTGTGGATTATACCTTGGGCTTTGTGCTGCTAGGCAAGCACTGGACCAACTGAGCCACATCCCCAGCCAATAAAATTTCATAGACAAATCTAAACCACAGGCTCTTCCTGAAAGAAAGGGAAGGATGCAAGAGACTCAGTCCTGTTCCTGACACCAGCTACGTGGAGCTAAATGGCAATGCTCCCTTGAGATGGAGGTTGTGTGCTGAAGAACTCGTTCCCTCCTGCATGAATGCCACTGTGGCACCTGGACCTTCAAAGCATCTGTCAGAAGGCCTGTCAAGCACGAAGAAAGAAAAAACCCCAAGGGATGATATCCCAGTATCCCTCCTTATCGACACTCCTCTGTAATGTAGCCCTGGTCCCCAGGATATCCAATTGTCATTCTACAAAGAGCATCTGAGCTGGATTCAGAGAACATCCCCTCCCACCACAGCAGGTTGCAGTCTCTGAAAGGAATGTTCCAGGCCACTTACCATACATTTTGCCTTCGTCTGATAAGATGATTTTCCTCCTCCCACATGGTGGATAGATAGCCAGGGCCTCCTGAAAGCTCTGCTCGATGTCAGGACTCCAGACCCCCTCTGCATCATTGTCAATCGGCTTATCTGCCGAGTCGCTCATCCTTTCCATGTTTTCGGCAGGGGGGGGCCTCCGGGCTCAATTTTGGCGGTTGGATTTTCCAAGCCGAAGCCTGGAGCCTTTTCAAGAAAACAAACCTGAAAGAGAAATCATAAAATAGTATAAAGACAGGGTCACCATCAACACAATGCTCCTATGAGCTGCACTGTAGGTTCTTGGTCGCCAGTGTTGCATGGACATTAACTCCAGGTGAAGAATACAGAATCCTGGAATCCCAGATGATTTTATTTTGTTCCCTGTGTGTTATGTTAAACACCCTACAAAAACATTAATGGCTGGCTGGAGCCGGGTAATCTTTCCAGATGAGAGGAAGTCTCACCAGTGAAGGCAATCACTCAAAGCTACATCTGCAAGGTTCATATGAGAACCCTTTTACGAAGTGCCCATACCCTACAAGTGGCACCATACTCAAGGGTAGTCAAATCTCCAGAGCAGAACAAGTTTATTAGAAAGTAAAGTAAAACAAAAGATGCCAGTTTCACTATAGACACTGACATCAGTGAAATGTCAAACCATCTCAATACAAGACCATGCAAGAGTGGGAGACAGGAGAAACGAGGTTACTTTAGTGCCACAGTTACTCATCCTACTGAGCCAGTGATGCCAGTTGGCCTAGACCTCCCATATTGATCTCCTACCCTGTGGAGTTAGGTCACTTGCACCTAAACTCTAACCCTGAATGAAGCAGAATCCAGTCCAGTTCCCTCCCACAGCTGCCACCCTTGTGGGATTGTTCCCATCCCCATGGGGCAGCAGCTGGTCCTGCAGCATGCCCTCCTGTTCACATGGAAACTGTGGGGCAATCTTTCCCTCATTTCTCTGGGCAGTGAAGATAACAGAACCACAAGAAATCTTCCTCCAAAATGTAAACGCAGTTCCTTTCAATTATACATGCCCCCTATAGTCACAAGGGGATAAGCTTTCTAAACAAATGTCACACTGGCTTGACACCAAGGTGAAAATGATCTAATCCAGTACTCCCTGCTGGCTGCACACTAACATATCAATATTGCTTTGTGAAAACCACATCAGATCATTAATGCAAAGGACTCCCCAAAAGAAGGAGGAAGAAGAACTGCTCCTGGGGAATGATGGGAAAGGGCTCACAGTGTGCCTGAGCAGGGAGAGGCTGATGTGATCACTGCTGCTCCCCTTACATCCCTACAATATTTCAACACAAGAAGCAAGAGGAAATCACGTCCATGTTCCAGAGTGCTGCCAGCTGAGCACAAACAACTGGGTTTCTCTTCCCTTGCCTCTCCCAACTGTGTCCTGTCTCTCACCAGCCTGTGGGTCTCAGCAGAACCCAGGTAAGAAAACTCAGAATGGTGTGCAATCTGTGGTCTAACTGAAAGGTGGCTTTGGACTCTTTGCCTTGAATTTCTTCAATTTTGCAGCATTTGTATTTAAAAAAAAAAAAAAGTTGTAAGCTTGGTCTTAACAGTAGTCACTAAGCCATCATTCAGGGAACATGTCAGCAAAATATTGATAGCCCCTTACCAACACACATGCACTTACAAGGATTTCAAAACTTGCCAACATCAGGGTATAAATTATGAAACAAGAAAGGATTTTGTGACTAGCCCCAAGATGAACTCTGGGTGCCTGTCTGCCTCGTGGGCCTTTTGAATTTTCAAGTGATTACATTCTGGGTTGGGATCTGAGAGTACCATAAAATTGGAGCTAAGCTGTAACCACCCTAGTGATTGCTTACTGGAGAAATTACGAGAATAGGAGGGAACGCTTTGATAGTGGCTAGCCTCTCTCCCAACAAACAAAACAATGCACACACATATAAGACCATAGGCCAAGCCAGGACATATCACAGCAGAATGAATTCTCTCAAGGAAGCTGCACTTAAAGATACATATTAGACGTGTGGGTACTCAACCACTATAGCCAACAGATAGAATTCAGCAGAGTTAGGACTGAGGACCCTGAGCCTTTGTAGGCCTAGGAAGAAGGTTCTTAAACAACTAAAAGTACAGTTTCCAGAAGAAAACATACCAACAACCCCCACCAAAAGTCTTAAGAGCATCTATCTCATCAGCTGGTCACACAGGCTATGCTGGAACTCCCTAGTGGGAGGACACTCATTGGCTCCTCAGCACCTCCTACCTTCTCACTGGTATGGTGAAATTACTCAACCAATTAGGTCAACACCCATTTCCTCACTTGACTTTACCCTATCATCCCTGAGGGGTCTATCCATCCTTCAGGCCAGCCTCTCCTCCAAGATCCATTTCCTACAACCTGACCAACCCTTGGACCTTCCTAACTCCCCCGACCCCTCACCAATGCATCTGCAATTACAAGGGAGGAGAGGGCCCCACTCTGTGAGGCTTGGAAAAAGACTCCAGTAGGGAAAGCCTGTCCGAGAGCCAAACTATCCACCAAGGATGGCCTCCCTCAGAAGACCAGTAGCAAAGGCCTGCAGATAACATTCGAGTTGCTACAAGTCACACACATTAATTGATCCATCTACCCAGGAAGCACAAACACAGCTCTAAACACTCCCACAATTTGATTCATTTGCAGCAAAGGGAAGAACTTCGTGATTAAGCTCTTGTAATTTAGTCTACTAGAGCTCAGTGGGATGGAGTTACCTCCTCTGGACCTGAGGCAGCACACAGCCCCAGAAAACAACAGATACAAAATCTACAGAGATACTCAGGTTCTTGGTTTTACAACCCAACTGTAAGACGAGCCTCTGTATGGGCAGAGAGTTTCCGATCACAAGGCTGATGGGGCTGGCTGAGAAAGCTCCCCACACTAGATACCAAAATAACCATCCTGGCATTCCACTCCTCAGCTCCAAAGCCACCTCATCCTGGAAACTGTCCTTGTCACTCTAATGACTGTGAGTATCAATCACACTTTACGAGCATCCTACATATGTAGAGCTGGTTTCTGCTCAATCTACCTTGATTTGAATGTACACCAAAAGGCACCTGCTTATTACCAACATTAAGAGCTAATCAAGTCTGGTACAGTGGCACACGCCTGTCATCTCAGACCTCTGGAGGTGGGAATGGGAGGATCCTGAAATGAAGGCCAACCAGGGATACATAGAGAGATCACCATCACTACCAGTACAGAATATAATGGATTATTCACAGACCATTGGAAGAGCTGATATCTTCCCCCTCCCACACTCAATGTGGAAGTCCAGTTTCCCTCAATTCAAAAATGAAAAAGTGTTCGGCGGGCGGCGGTGGGGTGGAAGGTGGGGGGTGGGAAGTGTTACATTCAAACTGAGATCTGGATTCAAAACTTGACTCACTCACATGGCTCAAACACAATTGGTTAATCTTTTTAAAGCTCAAGTTTTCACTTACACAATGGAGATATTAGATTCTATCCTAATGTAGAAAAACAATGGGGGGGGGATGGAGGCAGCTGAAACCTGATCCCATGAGATTAAGTGAGATAAAAGGAAGAGTTCTGTCCTCTGAAAAACCATGTGCCCTCACTTACTGATTATCCAGTCCATCCTCTCTAGACAACAGCATGCCATAACGCCAAAATATCTACAAAAAAAAAAAAAAGGACAGTGGAGGAATAAAGGTGCCTCCCCAGAAAGTTCACTTAAAAAGGAAATCAATTTAGAAAGGATTTGCCATCTTGAGTCTTCAGAAGACCAAACAGAAATTTCAGACTGTTGACAAGTAATTTCCTAATATCCACCGTAACTCAAACTTCCACAAATTATAGTTTTCATATTCTTTTGGAGAAGGTGATTCAAGTGTCTCCAAGGAAAGAGTGTTGAAACCAACAAAAATATGTGTATGTACTATGTAGTCGAAAGGAGCTTGGTTTTCATCAGGAACACCATTCTGCAGGCCTCTTGTATCCTGAAATTTCCTAGTCCTGCAATACTCAAAACACAGCTGTTAACAATAAGCCAAGCAGCCTACTAATTGGCCAGACAGCCACACTCCCACCATGGACATTCCTTTCTCAGAACCCACCGACACTTCAAGAAGAATCACAAGAGCATGGGGGGACGTGTCACAAGTGCACTTGACACATACAGGGAGGGCAGAGCAAATGCAGGCGCTTCTGACACCAACAGTATATAGGGTGACATGTGACAAGAGAAGGTGCTATTCCCTTCACAGATTCCCTGAGGCCCTCACCATATAAACATCTTACCCCATCACTAAAAGTAGTCCTTATGGTTAATGAAACACCATTGAGCATGAGGGTCAAGAAAAATCCATGAACCTTGTTTTAGCCCATGTTTTAATTGTCTATGAAAACAAAGAAAAGGAGCTAGACTATGAGTTGGACTTGGATGTCTGCTAAGTACCTAAGACCACATCCCATCTGCCTCAGTGTCCACTGTTAGCCATGAAGGAGGCCAATTCATCCATCCACCTAACATCTTGTATTCCTGTGTTATGTGCCCTTTAACTGCACCCCAGTGCACTCTCGGCAAGGGACCACTATGCTCACCATAACATCTTCACCCCAGTGATGACAACAGTACCTGATTCAGAAACAGCTGAGAAACAAACAAACATTACCCAGATGACCTGAGCATGTTCTGATTACATGCAGCTCATCCCCCAAACTCATGCTAAGTCTCCATGGAACAGTAAATACTACAAGAAACCACTCCAGCACAGGGTTGGAACTCAGGGATGGAGTGCTTGAATGGCATATTTGAGGTCCTGGGGTCACCCACGGTGCCACAAGAAAATGACAGTTGGGGAATCACCACATTAGAAACATGTCAAAGGACACACAAGCCAGACAGTGTGTGTATGGTCTCACTTCTTATTTACCAGCCATTATTACTGACAACCAGTACTTATGTGCAAGAGACAATAAGGTCTGAATCATAAAAGGTGGGTTGCTTTCATCATAAACCTTTCTTTTTCTTTTTTCTTTTTTTGGTTTTTTGAGACAGGGTTTCTCTGTGACTTTGGAGGCTGTCCTGAAACTAGCTCTTGTAGACTAAGCTGGTCTCAAACTCCCAGAGATTCCCCCTGCCTCTGCTGGGA